GGGAGACTGCTGTCGAAAGAGTGGAGCGATTAGGTTCTTTAATACATTGACGACATTGAGACGCGGTAACGCGTCTCACTTTGCGCACCTCGTTGGACATTGAGACGCGTTACCGCGTCTCACCCTTATCATCCCTTTTTCTAGGCGCATGCGCGGCTTTTTCCCGATTGTTTGCGTTTATTCTGTAGATCATACATTAATGCTGTGGCCCATGAAATGGTTAGATATGCTTAAACGCAACTGGCAAACTTGCGTTTGAGGCACGTTAAGATTTGGGGGAGGCTAGAGTCGACGATGCTACGCGCAGCTTGAAGGCGCCTTTAAGGAAGATAGAGTAAGTGTTCATTTTGGTCCAAAAGTGTTATCCTGCCGTAAACTACTGGAATCCAAAATCACCAAGCCGCTTTGATGGTGAAAAATTACCCCCTACACAATTCAGTCGCCTTCGGTACTGCAATCTTTTGGTTCGTTTGATGAGGTGCTACGTGAGCAGTGAAGACGCACGGCGCATTCCTTCCCAGTAATTCATATTCTTCCAACTAAACTCTGCTGTGTTTATTGATAACCTGTAAACTATTTAAATTGTGAGAAACTGGCTCACAGCCTTCACTCATGATTATCCTGAACAAAGTTGCTTTATTGGATTTCGTTTTATAAATTAATGAAATTGGCAATGATTTTTAATAACGTAGTAACGATGGGAACAAGTAAAAGCGAGACTTTATAAAAATGACATGAGGATAACGAATATTCAAACACCTCACGCGTACACCAAAGATCTCACGAAAAGGGACTCGTAGCATACCGTAATCAACAGCTTTTGCGCCCAGTGAATACATCCTATGTCCCAGAGAAGTTTCACTAAATAATTCATGGGTGTAAAGTTATTTTTAAGTTTCCATAGATTATGTAAAACAGAACTCTCTGAAGAACCTCAACGACTGAACAACATAATTAGCACGAACGAACGCAGGAATTGTAATACCAAAGATCAGGAGCATGAGTTTGTATGCAAATCACTGACAAAGAATAACAGAATAATTACCCACTGGTGGTCACTCATAGCTACGGTGATCCGATAAAAGAACAATCTTGTACTCTAATCTATGTTATAATCAAACAGTAACGACTTGAAAATGTTGTTACGGGGTCAAATCGACCGCCTATAGCGACTATTTCATCATAAAAAGCACAGTTAGAATATGTCTCTCCGTAAAAAAGGAATTGACAAAACCACAAACAAAAACGACGAGAAAGGACCTGTACCGCAAAACATGAACACCATGCAGTCACAAAAACGAGTGCCTACGACCGTAATAGATGGTGAAAGGTTTTCATTCGAACACATCATATCGAAAAGATAAAATAATCTCGCTGCGAAGCAAATGTGAGAAGCATCATATTCCTTGGCTGGAAGCGACCGGTTGCAAGAATCAGCCGATGAACTGAGTACAACCGAATGTGAACAAAGGCAAGAAAATACCGTAGTTCAGCGTGAGGTAGAGCAATCAGTTGAAATCGACGACTAATCGCATCGCGACCAGGAAAATGCTAAACACCACTATTAAGCGGATATCGGCTCGTAACGATGCAATCAGAATACCTACGTGTTTCCTTCAACGGGTTCCTAATGTGCTAACTTTACCCAATATAGACCCTATGGAAGTCGTTGGCGCCGAAACCAGCGTTACACTTCGGACATTTTCGTTGTCTTGTGTCATACCTAGAATTAGTAGACCACATGTAAAACACAATTGACGAAGATAAATAAATAGAAAGATAAACAAAAAAAGAAAACAATAGAAAACGAAGCTAAAAACGAACTAAAATAGTTGGCAAATTGCCAATTATGAACCTTCCACAAGTTTAAACTAACCTCGTTTTCAAGCATTTCATGCAGAAGACATGGAAACATTTGGTCAAGATAGCATCTTTTCGATTAACCTTGCACGATGGACAGGTGAGTACATCCTACAACAACATTAACTCCATCGATTAGTACGATTACGCAACTAATCAATAAACTGATAATGGAACAAAGAAGTGGATCTTCAAAGTGCCTCTGTATAATCCGTTAAGTTGAAATTCCACAAAAACAACTTGAACCACAATTAAAACTGACTTTGAGTTCTCGTATTTCTTCCATCAACACCGCGTCCGTACTCCCCAGCTTCTCGCTCTTTTTCGCTCGCTCCAAACGCTTTCGAAGCGTTGAGTTCTCCTCTTCCAATCGACGTTTCCTCTGGTCAATTACCTCGAGCTGCAGTGTCTTCGAAGCAACAACCTCAATTTTTATCCATTCAAGAAAGTAGGTAACAGAACGCAGTGTTATTTGCCAATAGGAATACCTCTTGAATATCTCTCAGCTGCGCCCCGATTTTCTCACTACGCGTCCCCAGATCAGCGGTATTCAATGACTGTTCAGTAAGCTGCTTTCTCAAAGCTTCGATCATACGATTTTGCCTTCTGAAAACGAAGAAGCTATGAATGGTATAACATAGCACGAGCAACGTTTCAATAAAAAAATAGCTGGGTCGGATTTTTCCAAGGCGCAAGAAAAAAGAAGCTGCGAACTACCGGCTTTCACTGAGGCTCTCTTGACTTGCAGCTATTCGAAATGTAACTAAAAAATGCCAATTTTGAATCACGAGTACGCCACGAGCCCAGATTCAAAGTTGTGAAAGCATATGAGAACCTATTTGTTGAAGCCATGACCTTGAAAGCTGGCCATCCTTGTCGTGTTATGGTACAAGCCTGAGCGGAAAATGTTTCTAGTTTCAGTAAAACAAACTTTGAATGTTCGCCACCCTCCCTGCGGCCTCTAGAAATGCTGGTGCTTCAGCCCATGTCCACAGACAAAGCTGTCGGACTCAAATCGAGCACTTTATTTCATTTTTCTATAAATTTATGTTATTTCAACCTCTATAGCGTTTAACTCATCCATTTTCCCCCAGCCGACCCACCACAAAAACGAGACTCGCCCGAATTCCACCGCGTCACTCGGTGATGACCCCTTCCCCCCCCCCCCGCCCCTCATGAGTGAAAGTACGACCCCATAGTGAAATACAGAAATCGTTTGAATGCTTCAGAAAGAGCTTGAGCCCTCGGATGAAAAATAAATCCAAAAGTTATAAAATGTATATATTGCCCATGAGTATTACGTAGCTGCTAATAATTCTAAAAAATTGTAGTGAATAACAAGGAAATTCGCAGAAAAATAACGCAGACCTTACACGTTGAACAGATGAATGTATTTTACAAAGTAAACTTCGTTTTCTGGCATAATAGAAAACCTTACTTTTGAGGATGGATTCGGACTGAAATTTTTGAAGTTGAAGAGTGCTCCCGAAAGATCCCTCACAACCTTTCAAACTTTAAAAACAACGCAGGACAACTAATGGGACCGAAGCAAAAACCGAAAAATCACAAGAAAGAGAACACAGATCGACACCTTGGAAAATCCATGGACACAAAAATGGATAAAAATACAGCATTTGCATAGGCCATGCTCTTACAGGGATGACCCGGAAAGCAGTTGAGGTTGATTTAATATCGGCCATTCGAAGCTAGGCATTATGTCAGAAATACTATGCCTTACCATAAATGCGAGAAATATAAAAGTATAATATATGGCAAAAATAGGCTTACACATTCTCCTTTGTTTTCACGCCGATTGTTTCCAGAGCCAGCCGCAAGGCTTCATTTTGGGACTCCTTTTCACACTGTAACGCTGCAATTTGTCTTGTCAGGTTATTCACTTGCGATTCCAGGTGAGCCTAAAAGAGCATACTCAAAAGAAAAGAAAGACAAAGGAAACTGATTGTCATTCTGAGCAAACATGCCATCTCTTCCTTGATTTTCACTTGCAGTTGAGTAGCGATAATCCTATCATTCATCATTTTGATATGGCCCTCATCGTTTTCCTTTTGCAAGGAGATCAGCTTGGCATTCTGTTCTTGCAGATCTTCGAGCGCCTGAATGGCAAAAGATACTTGAAACAGTGAGACCATGAAGAACAATGAAAACCGTACAGAGCCAGTGTTGTCAAGATCGAGCATTAAAGACGCTTCAGTATCCTTGAGCATTGTCACCTCACGTTTCAGTCGCTCAATCTCGCTGTCTTTCTGAGCAAACAGGCGGTTCGCATCCATCTGAGAAATGAGTGAAAGCATTTCGTATAATAAAATCATTTCGTGAAAAATTTGCTTGAATACAATCCAAAAGTGCAGTTTAACACTCCCGCGGAATCACGTAAAGTTGGGAAGGAGTCAAAGAAGACATGAGCTCAAATACAGTGATTGCTGAAGAATCCAAAAAGATAAATAAAACAGATCCTAGCCTAAGAACGTGGTCATGGTTGGTCAAAATTTCGCAATTTTTCCGTGCAGTAAGGACACATCATTCAAAAACCTGCGATCACGCGATTATACACTGGTGTGCAGGTGCAGAACTTAGGGAAGAAAGTTTACTTTCACATAAATATCCCCACTGGTAGCTAAAGTTAGATTCGATCCAAAATTGTCTATACATAGATACACGTGTGCGGTACAGTGCAGAGAATTGCTAACAAAAAACGCAAGGGGACGTCTATAACAGCCATTTTCTTCAAATACCCTGTCTGAAGCGGTCGATGGGTGAGGCTACTCCAACTCATGGTAGACATTCAAAAGAGAGGAGCTGGTTCTTGATGGGTGTATGAACACTACGGACTGCAAAGCATGCTCTGCCACGTGCTCCAATACTGGCCACAAGGTTGGTTAAGAGTTCTTGTGGAGAAGCGATCCATTCCTTGAAGACCGCGATTGACAACTGCTGGACAGTTGTTGGCGCATGGGGATGCGCTACAATAGCTTTCCTGAATGCGCGCCACACGTGCTCCATAGGATTTGACTGGGTAAGCGGGCAGGCTCACCAATCGCCGGAAATCCTCGCTTTCCAAGAGTTTTCCACCTAGGCTGCTCGATGCTCTCGCACCTTGTCCTCCATACGATTGAAGTTGAGGTCAAAGGCACCCTTGAAAAGATGCACATAAGTGAGGAGTACAGTGTCACAATAACTTCGATCAGAAAGCATTTCGCGATCAGGGGAGGTTGGCACGCCCTTGCAACTTTATGCCTCTCCACACCATATCGAATGGACTATCAAAACAACCATGTTCGAACGATGGTCCTGGATCAGTTACTGCTCCCATTCTCGCCAACTTGCGGATAATTCAAAATCACCACATACATTGAATTTGATTAGAAAAACACGTGATCTTTCCAATCAGTGGTCCATCGCCAATGTCCCGGCACCCAGCGAATGTTCCCGCCAATGCGCGGGCTTCGTAGGAATACCAGATTCTGCTCTGTCAGAGAGAGATCATCCCTACGCGGTCACTGTGCCACAGTTCGGGCTGGGATTACATGCCTTATAATCCTATATTTTTTGACAATTGCAGCCTGTAGATCGCGATCCACCCCTACTCCTTCCGAGGTCAGCAGTTGGCCAAAGTCAAATTGCTCCTTATGCGCACAAAAGAATGGTGTGAACAGCATCAAGCTCCTGGCACCCCATTCGGATATATGAGGCCCACTTTGACGTCCATGACTGAGAGACTTTTAGCATTATGCTTGCACAGTTTCATCCAATTCCATCGATATGTCAATAAGTTAGGTCAATTTATCCATCTCGTCCTTTTTGCACACCAGTGTATGATCATACACATCTAGTTCATACAGGAACTGCAAAAGAATTGCAAAGCAGTGGCAAGATATGACCGTGGTCGGATACTTCGGGAAACTACCCATAAGTTACTAGTGATAAAGCAGAAAAATAGGGAGGAATAATGGTGCACTCTTTCCTTCCGTTGTAGAGCTAATCCCGGAACATCGCGTTAAGCAAGCGAACTCAAAAAATTTACAGCAGACAGAATATACGGGATTATGACATACTTCAAAATACCGCATCCTCTCTTTTCGCTCGATATTTCCCAAACGCTTGATCTGGTGTATTAAGCGCTCATTTTCTCTCTTCAGCCGGCGCTCGCGAACAAGTAACTGAAACAAAACATTTCGCCGATATGTGAAAAGTTACAAAACGAAGCACGAAATTAATTACCTCAGCTTTGTCCCTCACGTCCGTTCCTATATCAGCATACACTTCCAATTTTAGCTTCAGTTCCAAAATTTTTGCTTGTAGACTGCTAATGCTGAAATAAAACAAAATCAGCTCTTGTGCTCCTGATACAACACTTTTGTTAACAAGATCTCAGGTCTCAAGAACAAAAGCTGAAGCTGAACGAATTCTAAAAATTGGAAAACTAAAATGCTGTTCATGGAATGACGGTGCAAAATTATTCGATGGGACACTTACCTTTCACCGTTCGCATCATCACTAACGTCGAGGTCATCCCTTGACTGATCTGGACTAGCAAGTTCATTCGAATCCTCATCATCTAACTCTATGACAAGACAACGCTCCAGCCGCCTCCTCTCGCCATCAAGTTCCGTTTGTATCTAAAAGCAGAACGTTTGACAACTAACAAATGAGATACTAATATTTGTGATATTTTCAATGAGTAACCTACTTTGTAATTTGTGTTCACTCCTTCTTTCCATTTCTTCCGATATTTTGCAACGTCCGAATTCAGCTGATAATTTTGTGTTTTCAGCGTACCAAACAACACTTTGATATCCTGCTGCTTTGCATCCTAAAACAGTCATCGTTTCTAAGCAGTAAATTGAATAAGATACCCAGGTATTGTACTTCTTTTCCTATTACACAAAAGTAAAGAAATTAACCTCTCCCAATATTTTGATGGACTTTATCGAGAATTCTCCGTTAACAAAGAAATTCAATGTGGTCGGTGAAAGATCAGGAGGAAATTAAGCGAAGGTACTAAGCATTTTTACCATCGCTCCAGTTCTAACACGCTTGTGATCATCGTCTCACTTAGTGATAATCTATTTTGTCCCAGAGTTTCGAGACAATTAGGTATCTGATAGAGAGAAAAGACACTTATCTACCCTACTCCAGAAGTGATAGCCTATTTGAAACTTGACTCCTTTATCGAGAGATGATTCGGATGGGAGGAATCATTCAACAAAAAAACGCGAAAATCTTCTCTGGAGAAGGTTTTTATAAACAAAAAGCGTTTACAGACAAAATTCTACGAAGAACCTTCAAGCATGGAATGATTCTACTTCAAGAAGTCTGCTTGAGCTTTCGCAAGGCAGGATGCTTCAGAGCAAAACTGAGCAGATTGGTCCATTAACGGTGTGCCGAACAACTTCTCGACTTGTACAAGAGTTAGCCCATCGTTCAACGAGATTTGAAGCAATGGATTTTTCTGCACGAAAGCTCTTGAGATGAGGAGGGCCTGTACTATCAAACACCCAAATTTGGAGTTTTCTGAAAAGCGCTACCCGAAACGTGGCTGCTAAAATTGATGACATCACCACTGTGTAATCGCAACAGCGAACGAATTGGTTCAGAAAATGTGAACGAAGACTGAAGGCAATCTCCAAAGGAGGAATTTTTAGTACGTAAGCTTTTTTTACGAGGTAAACACAGTTAACAAATGGGAGGGAACAGATATAATCAGTCTGAAGGGAAAGTAATGCAAATATTTTGTCAACATATGCACATCTTATAAAGTTTTCTTCTTTCTGTCTGACAGATAATTCACATTCTTTTACGTAAATACCCAGGATCAGGGGTCCAAGCTCTACTGTAAACGTTTATATAATGATATGTTATACCCATTTAAATTAGCTGTTCACAATTATGGAATCCTACTCTTAAGAAAGATGTAGTCAAGCTGGAAAAAGTCCAACGAACTTTTACCAGACTGGCTTACTCCAGAAACTATCCACGGACAGCATCTTGTGACATGCCGAGTTATGAAGAGAGAATGAAATGGCTTCAGGTTTGATTAGTCTGAGCAAACAAGGAATTGAGCTAAATAAGAACATCACCTTGGGATTCAAAATACTGAGGCAAGAAACCAGGCTTAGACCATAGCCATACTGGGTCTTCAAGACCCTGTAGCGAAAGATCCGGGAGATTTGGCATATATCATACGAGAATTCATAGAAAATTTTACTCAATGACCTACCACTCTTTCTTCTGCCGCATGGCTAGGATCTTCGAGAAGCTTCCACCCGAAATATTCGGGACAGTGAATGGTAAGACCTTCAGGAAGAATTTATTAAAACTCAATCTTACGGATGTCATTAGTTAAGTGGTCTAATTGTGAGCTCCATTTAGAGATCGTTACAGTGGACTCTCGCCTTTCTGATTACATCATCGGATCAACATATCACGATATCGTGGTCACCAGGCGTATTAATATTGTTCTTTGGATGCAAGGCTTCATATTTCGATTACCAACTTTTTTCCTTGAGTAATTGTATTTCTCCCAGTTGTGCTTTGTGCTTGTTTTTACCTTCTTTAATTTGGTATAATTAGTATTGGAATGGTCTAGTCATGAGGATCGGGACCCTGCATTAGTTTTTATACTCACGATCAATCAGTATATTCCGCCACTTCGCTTAACCCTTCCTTCCTAGAAGGACACACCTCAGAAAACTTTTCTGTCTGCTAAGTATGTGACCTCCACTTACAAGCTTTGGAAGTAACGTCTCTCTGCTGAAATCCACGAGTGGCATCTGGTCCTTACCTGACCTGCCTGTTCCACGAGGGTGTCGGTATACTCGTGTCCCGAAGTTCAGGCAGGCTTCCCATTGCACCTATAGTAGTGCTATGGGCACCATTGCCGACTGGTGCAGGTAAGGTACCTGGATTACACTCAAAGTCACCCAAGTTTGAGAGGTCTTCCTTAGTTCCTCGCTAGAGGGTCAGCAGTGCTAATTTTCCCTCGTGCTGCTATCTCTTTGAATGCAGGAAAGGGAATAGGTTTGCAGTAGTCCTTTTATATCGTAGTTTTTAATAGTTTCGTGAAGATAATAGGGCTACCGTCCTCATTGACTAACCACAATGTTTTCTATTGTTTGTTTGTTTATAGGCGCCGGCATGAATATAATAAAGCTAAATAAATTATCAACAATCATCACGCAAGGGGATAACGTATGGTGAGTCGTAAGAGATGAGGGTTTAATATGTATACCGTTTAAGCTATCACCATGCATAAGTTTGTCTAATATTTGAGCAAGAAAAAAGATAAAGAGATATAAAAGAGAAAATGGTTGACAGTATAATTTTCATTTCTCACCTGTTTACTGTGTGCAGCAAGAGACTGCTCAAACTCCATTCGCAGCATGTCAGACTCCGTTCTCATCTGAAGGATTCGAGTACTGTGTACGATTTACACTGAGCAAGTTGGCAGCAAAAGCAAGGCGGTATTAGGTTAGTGTCACTACCGTTCATAGTAGAATCCCTTTTAGAATGGCGGAAGCTATCAATTCCTGATCCCTGTTTAGACAGGTCTCCAATTGAAGATATAAATTGCGACTGATAAAACAGATAGAACTCAGAGAACCTGGACACTTAATTAGATGACTTGTAATAATAGTACTTTGATATACTTATTCTGAGGTAGGATGGGCATTCAGTCTGGGCGAGAGTGAAGTGAAAAACAGCTCCACTTACCAGACGTACGGTATGGTGATTGAGTCCCAGACAGTACTACCGGGCCAAATAAAACTTCTACTAACTTGCACATTAGGACTCTCCATAGTAGCGGAAAAACAAAAGAAATAAGCAAAAGCGTATCGGCACCATGATTTCGAATAAAAGTGGAGCACGTGGAGGCCTCGAAAAAGAGATTGACCAAACGGATGCTTTGGGTTACTAATTTTCGTGATTTTCTACTATCACAAACCGCCAAAAAGCCACAGCGAACTATGACACGAGTTTCGCAGGAGCCACTTAAAAATCATGACGCGGATGCCACTTCAATTCTTTTTGTGGTGTTTCTTAGTCATCTTCATCTCACCGCTTACCGAAACAAGCACCAATTAGAAAACGAGGAATTCAAACAACTTATATGGAATGAATTACGCCTTGAAATTTTACAAGAAAAAGTTGCAAATTCCGACAGCGCGGAAGTGTAGTG